CGAACTTCCTTCACTACAAAGCCAGTGAGGAAACAAGCCAGGATCTGGCCAGAGGGTGCATCCTCAGCACTCCAAGACTGTTATATGGACACTGACTGGGAGGTTTTAAAACAGCAGCCTCCCAGGGTGATCAGACTGACGTTGAGGAGTATGCTGAGGCGGTAACCAGCTACATTGCAAAGTGTATAGAGTATGTCACTGTCATTAAGACCTTCACAGCAACAACATTAGTGCATCATATTCTAGCAATGTTGTCATTTAACATTTATTGCAAAACATTTTTAGAATGTTATTAGAGAACATTATTCCAGAACATGCTGAGACCTCAAAGAAAACTTCCCGCTGAAAAACATCACAACAACATTTGTGCATCATAGTCCAGGGGTTGGCTGTGGCTCAGGTGGTAGAGCAGGTTGGAAGGTTGCCGGTTCGTGTCCTGGTGAGGACATTCTCTCCGAGTTCTCCGGCTTGTTGAGGTTAATTGGTGATTCTAAATTGTCTGTAGGTGTAAATGTGAGTGTGCTTGGCTGTCTGTCTGCAATTGTAGCCCTGTGTTATGTGTCCAGGTGTCCTCTGTCTTCGCCCTAAGTCAGCTGGGATAGGCTCCAGCCCCCCGTGAGGATTAAGGGGTATAGATAATGGATTTATTATTATGATTGTTGTCATTTAAAATTTTAAGAGGGTTACCCCAAAACATTTTTTGAATGTTTTTAGGGAACATTCTCCCAGAACATTCTGGGAATTTCAAGAAAACTTCTCAGTGAAAACATTGCAACAGCATCAGTGCATCACATTCTAGAAATGTTGTCATTTAACATTTTAAGAGGGTTACTGCAAAAAAATATTTCAATGTTTTTAGGAAACGTTCTCCCAGAATGTTCTCGGAACTTAAAGAAAACTTCCTGCTGAAAACATTGCAACAACGTTCCAGTCAACATTCTAAGAACCATTCTAGCTGGGAAAACAAACTCAAGAAGTATGTACAATTTCCACAGCAATCACACATTGCAATTAGCGGCCATGCTTGAATGGACATCTCACGTCGCGACTCGCAAGGCAGATTTGTGCCTTTCTGATGGAGCCCTTGCAACCTTTCCTCTACCTCCACAGTCTCCACAGCACCCAAAATTAGCAGAGGACGTACAATCCCAAAAGTTGTGCACCCGGTTGTGACCGAGGCTTAAGGCTACCATGGCAACAATGAATAGCATCTCAAATTCCCAAATTCTATAGCTGTAAGATATTTAACAGATGAGACCATTTTATTGTCAGTCCAGACTATTGAGGTGTCTGTTAGGGTGTTGCAGGATATGGATCCAAAAAGCAACAGAGGGTTTGGTGGTTAGAAAAGAAGGATTTATTCAGGCAGCAAGGAACAGGGGACACTGGGAAGCACGTGAGGGAAGCCGAGTGAGGGAGGGAGGTCCAGGAGAGGTTCCAAGAGGGACAGGGAGGCTGAACGGCTGTGGATGGGGCTCGGCTGCAGAGGCTGGGCTGGGGAACATGTCGGTCCACCGTGGAGGTTGTGGTAGCAAACGCAGACAAAGACAAAAGTCAGACAAAGAGAGTTTCTCTGAGCACAAATCTCTGAAGCAGTCATGCAGTCCTGTTACCACTCATGGGTGAGTAATCCACTGGCACTTGAGCACAGGTGGAGGCAGGCTTTATCCAGCACTGATTAGAAATGACTCTCAGGTGTGGGAGAGAGCGAGTGAGTCCTCTCCCATCCAAAACCCCACCCAGCCTGAAAAAAACACTAATCAGCCACCAACACAACAGGGACAGAGAACTAAACAATGTTTCAAAACAAGGGCGCAAACCTCGGATCACCACAGTGTCATCAATAAACGTGTTGTCATGGAAACATACATATTCAAACTGAAAGTGTGTCTCATGTGTCGAACAAGGTGATAATTGATTGTTGGTGTTTATATACAGTTTAAATCTGAATGATTAAACCTGCTGATGCTGCAAAACATTCTGGTGATGTGAACACATTTTAATGAAAACACGATAAAATGTCATTACACCTTACACCTCAGTGGTTTGCTAGGGTTCAGTCAAATTGTCTTGTGAATTCTTTGAATTCCTAGAGATATTGAAGACAGGTGTTGGGATCTGTCTTTTTTATGACAACAATTTAAGTAATAACAGACCAAAACAATTGGTGATGTCAGGATCAATAATGACTTTAAACATTTCTCTGTGGTTGTCTACTCCATCTTAACGTTGCAGTCAATACTGTTGACCACTCGGTTGTAATTCAACGGCTCCAGGAATCAGAGAGCTTCATGTTAAAGTTCAGAATGGATTTGATCCTCTTTCAGACTTTTCTGTTTCTGTGGTTCCTTCAGTTCTACGCAGACAAATAATAACCTCATAGGCCCAGGGGGGTTGTATCCTGGAAGCTCTTTAGTTTAAAATATACATGCTTCTGCTTGGTGATGTTGTCAGGAAACACTTGTATGCAGATGCAAACAGTTGTACATGTTATTCTCCTCCAGTGATCTTAAGTTAGTGAGTAAACAAGAGCAGCAACAGAGACAAACACACTGTTCGTCAGAGCTGTGAGAGGAAGGAGGAAAGGATGAAGGGAGGAGCTAAACTGGGACTCAAGGACAGAAAACACACAAACTGTCACAGTGGAGTTTGATCCAGAAAACAGACAGATTGTCTTCATCTTCAAGATGCTCTCAGTGAACTTGAGTCTGTTTGTCACTTTGTTTCTTCTCACAATAAGAGGTAGGTGACATATTTAACATGAACAGAGTTTGACTGAGAAAAACTAGTAGATCACAAAGTTCCATCTGTTCTACATAGAATAAAACTCCTGACAACTGCCGATTGTTCTCCTTTAACCAATCCTTTTTACTGATTAATATTGTCCTCTGCATGTTGTGTTCTTCTTCAGAGTGCAAAGGAGAAGACAAAGTGATTCAGCCACTAGAAGATGTCATTGCTGCTGAAGGAGACACAGTTACACTGGAATGTTCTTTTGAAACTAGTAGAACAAGTCCCACTTTGTTCTGGTACAAACAAGAGGTAAATGGTCAACTAAAGTACATGCTGAAAAGTTACACTACATCAGTGGAAAAAGCACCAGAGTTCCAGAAAGACAGATTTGATGCTAAACTCAACAAGACATCAGTTCCTCTGAAGATCCAGAAGCTTCAGCTGTCTGACTCTGCTGTGTACTACTGTGCTCTGGAGCCCACAGTGACAGGAAACAACAAAACTCTGTACAAAAACCTTTGGTGCAATGACAACAGAAAACTTCACAACATCCACAAGAGGGAGACACACTCTGTTAAAACTGATATGTGATTTGGTTGCTGGACTGATGACAAAGACAACAGAGAAATGAAGTAGTAAAGATCAGACAGAGACAGAGCTGGTGTGGAAACACAAAACACTTTGACTTGTTGAATTGAAAAAAAAAAAAAAATGATGTCGAGGTAATGGCCCTACCCACTGAACTTCAGCAAATCTCACAATATTCTATGTTTGTCATGAAGTTCTGAACAATCTAGTTGTGATCTGAGCTACAGTTGAGATATTTGTGTCCACAGAGTAACACTGTACAGGTGAAATTTTCCACTGTCTTCTCCTCTCAGCCTCATGGACAATGTGAGTCTGATGGCTTCATTTTCTCTACTTTTTCCAGGACTAATAGCTGGAGACACAATCACTCCTGAACAAGATGAAGTCAGTGGAACAGAAGGACAATCTGTCACACTCACATGCAACTATAAGACAGATTATCAATATGCTGACCTTTACTGGTACAAACATCATTCTGACCTTCAGGCTCCTCAGTTTATACTCTGGAAACGAGCAGAGGCTGTACAAAAACCTGAACACAGATATGTGACTCCTCTTCAAAGAGGAGGGAAGTGGTATTCAAAGCTTGACTTAATATCAGATGGATTGTGCTAATTCCTGTTTTATCACAGTCACTGTGGTTACAGCTGCTGATGAAACACTGTGGGAGGATTCACAGGAGCAGCAGATCAGTAATACTTCCAGAAGAGAAGCTGCAGAGGATTGGAGGGGACGAAGCTTATTTAAATATCCAGAGTTTATTTTTGATTGAAACGCTGGAAATTCTGGCCATGATGATATTTTATTAAACTAAAGCAACGTATGCTCCGAAAAAAATAAAGTGTGTTTTCATTGTCACTTACTTGGTGGCATATTTCCATCATCCTGCTCCTCTTCATCTTCATCAGTGATGAATCCAGTCACCATTTAACATCAGATGAAGCATTCAAGTGGCCTCATCTGATGATATCTGTTGTTTCCAATTGTAATAGCAATTTCAGCAAACCCCTTTAGTCGGCTGCTTGACTGCTGCTGATGGCTGAGTTGGATGTGGTCTTGACACATGCAGATGAATGATGATGATAAGAAGTGGATTCAGTCGGTTCCACTGAACAATTATTCCATTTATGGTTTGTTGAATTACAGATTAGTCCAAAAAAAAAAAAAAAAAATCTTTAAGAAGAGCCTTTAAGAAGGCCTAGTTCCTTGATGTCGCCACATGGTCAAAAAACTGTTTGCCTTCCTCAGCCACACCCAGATGCTATGACAGCTGGTTATTAATCCTTGCCCCATAGACTCCACCTTCAACTTCCTCAGTCTGGTGGAGCCAGCCTCTCCAGCCTCCTCTCGGTGGAGTTAAACATATCCATGGCAAATCACTCCCCTACAGGCACACATGCACATGCACATGCACTCTCTCCCTCTCCCACTCACATCCACACACCAACAACAAGAAAGAACATATCAACACAAAACTCAATTTGGCTCCTACACCAATGGTACATATTCTGTCACCATCCAAGATCCAACTACAATGAGGAATGAAAGACAATACAAACTTGACATTAAGTTAAACAGAAATACTGCATTGGCTCTTTAAAATGTTCTGTCAACAACAGGAACGTAAATTCTTTGAGGATTGATGAATCTGACGTGTGCTAAATCATCAGTTTGTTTGTTAGTGCTCATTTTCAATCGTGTATACTTGATGAGGCAACAAAACCTTTCTCACAAATTAAATGAAATTAAAGTTACATTTTGACCTGAAGACAACATGGAAGCAAATTGCATCTGCGTATATTATATAAGAATTTAAAAACCCCTTTGCACATAAGCTTTTGTGGTCCTACAAATACGTCCACATCATCATTTTGTCATGTCAAAAGAGCAAAACACTTAGCCATTGGATTATAATATTTGCAGCAAATCAAATTTACTGATATGTGAGATCTCCAAGACAATGCAATGGGCAATGGCAACAAAAGATTCTATCTGTATATATATGTACAGTATGTCACAAAAATGAGTACAGTTATTTTGAGGGGACAGTAAATTTACACTGTTATACAAGCTGTACACGGACTACTTTACATTATAGCAAAGTGTCATTTCTATTTTTATTTGTTCAATACCCCAATTTTAAGCCTGAAATCACAGTTTGCAAAAGTTAATTGTGGTTTAGTTTTTTTTACTGTGATATGTATTGTATGTGCATTGTGATCTCAGTAAAGTTTTGTGAAGAAATTCACTTTATCTATTGAGAATAAAGCCCATTGTCACAATCATGCCATGAGAAAAAATATTTTATTCCAACTTTTTTGAGCAACAATGTCTATCTATCTATCTATCTATCTATCTATCTATCTATCTATCTATCTATCTATCTATCTATCTATCTATCTATCTATCTATCTATCTATCT